GGAGTCCTCCAGCAAACTTGGACAAAGTCTTCTAGCTCTGGTTCCAGTGGGCCCTTCAACTGTGCTGCCTTAGGCCAGTGTTACAAAGCTCTTTTAGTCCTACCAGTGAAAGCATTTTTCCCCACAAGCCTTCCAGCAAGCTCAGGTGAAGGCTCCCAGCTCTGGTTCCACGGGGCAGCGGTACCAGGTAAGCTCTGTCTCACGGTGGGTTTCTGGTTCTCTGCAGTGACTGCTGCTGCTCTCCCACAGGCCCAGCAGGCACAGGGATCTCAGGCCCCAAAGGAGACACACTGCATCCTCCACTTTTTCTTGGCTGGAAGTGAGATTCCTACATTTCTGCCACCAAACCTGCTCAACTTAAACCTGGTGGAATGGCAAAACTAGCCAATCCCCTTGTCGATAGACTAACATATCCTATTTGCATTTGCTTCCACATAGTTATGAGGTAAAGTTAAGGGCAGTGGCATAGGAAAATAATTTTTTATAATAGACCCACAACACTACATTAATAGATTCCCGGAGTCCCATTCAGTCATTGCTCATGAACAGAAGTTCATCATCATATAAGGCAAAAACTTCTCTCAGGCAGTGGTCAGTTTAAGTTGGGGGGGAAAATGCTGCAATGACTAGCAAGTATATTTACTATTGATTGAGAATAAATCTGACAAGGTCCCAGTTCAGTTGTGTAGTGGCCGTGGATCTTGTATGAAGCTCCACAACACTGTGATTTTGTATGAATTTTCAATCTTGAGACCAAGATTCCTATTTTGTGACCTTGCCTGTTACTCTTCCCTGTTAAGGAGATCTGGTGGCCTAGAGGGAATGGAGTTGCATTGTTAACCCCAAGGCAGGCAGTTTCAGCTCCTCTGCAGGAGTTAAAGGGGCAAACTCACTGTAGGGTCAGCTATGAGTCAATTCTGATTGAACAGCCTATAACAACAGCCTGCAGTACAGTTGTTCTTGTGGGATGTTGTCCGGGTGACTCTGACCCTTGGTGACGCATACGGTAGAGTAGAACTGTCCTATAGGACTTTGTAGGCTGTAACCTTTTTAATTACATATAACCAGGTGTTTCTCTGCTGGAGCTGTTTGTTGGATTCAAATTACCGCCTTTTTAGGTAGCGGCTGTGAACTTAACCATTGCAGTTAGGACTCAGGTTCTCTTTTTCAGCTGCAAAACTGCCCGCATGATTTAACACGATCATTTTTGCAAATGATACTGACAATTTTCTGAAGCTGAAATTTTGCGTGGGATGATGAAGAAACTGCAGTTGAAAATTCATTAATGAAACTCACCAATAGAATTTATGGAACCTGGATTTCCCTCCACCCCCAGGGAGCTCCTAGTGGGTAAGCATAAGCCCACTCAAAGGCAGGTGTTTAGAATCCACTTGCTACTCTGAGGGAGAAAGATGGGTCATTTCCTTCTGTATGATTTTCTCCCTTGGAAAACTCATTAAAAGGTCAGTCATGGCAGATTCCAGCTCAACAGCAGAGAAGAGATATTTTTCACATTTCCTCTGATTTTAATCAGACAGGGCAGAGGGAAGGGAAATAGGTGAGAGAGAAGAAAAAGCAGATAAGGAACAGAACTAGAATAATTTGCTTTCTCTGATTCCACTGAAGATTCTAATTTGCACAAGACTGAAAAGGACATCTGATGCAGACACAATTACGCATCAACTCCCTGCTGATACCAAGAGAGGTTGAACTGGAATGCCCCACCTGGTTTGACACTCCCATCCCCACTCCCCAAATGTACTGCCTCCTCCTTCTCTTCTTACTTCAGACTTCCTACTTAAAACCACAAAGTGATACTAACTGTTTGGGGTGTGCCAGATCTATTCTCAGCCATGTATATACTCAGACTATAGTGCACTTATGGTCACTAATATTCTAAGATAAGTTCTCTGGGGCAATACATTTCCTGTGTGTGGCGTGAACTTTGTCACAAACCTTATTTCTTTCTATTTAAACTTTATTTGATATATGAACTAAGAGGGAGCTCTAAGAGCAATAAAAATGATTCAGAGTATACTCTTACGCATTTTCTTTTACTCCTCCATATTTTAAATTTCCACTTGAACCACTTCAATAGTCTATATTATGCCTTTTTCTTATACTGCTTGTGGTAAAAGAATTCAAAGTTACATAATGGAAAGCAAACGCACCCTTTCCCTCCCTCCTCTATCAACCATGAGAAAGCTCTGGTGGTGTGATCCATAGCATTAACCAGAGTTAACCCAGTGGTTCTGGTCCACCAGCCACTCTGTGGGGGAAAAATGGGTAGTTTCTTCTCATTCTGATTCACGGCCATGAAAGCCCCGTGGAGGGTCATTATTGATTCGACAGCAGTGAGTGTGTCTTCAGTTTTGTTTGTCAATGGTAACAGATAACTCATAGTCACATGATACATATAGTGTGTGTGTGTGTGTGTGTGTGTGTGTGTGTGTGTGTGTGTATTACATGTTGTTGTTGATTTTTGTAGAGTCGAGCACGACTCGTAGCAACCCTATGAACAAAAGGCCTGAAGCCTTTCTGTAACTATCATTGTTTCTTCAAGTTCACAGAGTTTCCAGAGGCAAGTTGTTTAGGAAGTAGATGCCACTCCTGCTTCCAAACCTGTCTTAAACCGGGGGCTCCACCAAACACTGTCCATCATGGGTAACCGTTATGACATTTGACACCTCAGTGGCACAAGGTTCAGCATCACAGCAACCCCAGGTTACATATATTATATGATTATGTATTATGTAAGTACATATATAATTGATAACTCCTGGTCACATGATGCATACATGTTGTTGTGTCGTTGTTATATGCCATTAAGTCACCTGCAATGTACAGTGAGCAGCTCTGAAGCCTGCCCTGTCCTGAGCCAGTCTCACTAATTCTGACACACCACCCCCATTATCCCAGTTACTGTATCAAGCCATCTCTTTTGGGATCTTCCTCTCCTGCTCTGTCTCTCCACCCTTCTGAGCATGATGTCCTTCTCCAAGGACCAGTCCCTCTTGGCCACGTGCCCAAAGTATGTGAGACGGAGCTTCAGAGCTTTCTCCTCCAAGGAGAAACTTGGCTTCACCCTCTCCAAGACAGACCTATTTGTTTTCTTGGCAGTCCATGACATGTTCAAGACTCTTCTCCAGCACCACAATTCAAAGGCATCGATTCTTCTTCTGCCATCCTTAGTCATTGTCCAGCTCTCTGATGCTTAGTAAGTAATTGCAAAGACCATGGCCTGGATTAGGTGCACCTTAGTGTTCAGACTAACATTATTGCTCTTTAGTACTCTGAAGAGATCCCTGACAGCAGATTATATATATCTTGTAAATAGCTAACTCTGGAGGCCTAATGGTAAGAAACTGCATTGCAATCCTGAAGGCATGCAGTTCAAATCCACCAAGAGCTCCATGGGAGAAAGATGGGCAATCTCTTCCTGTGCAATTAACAGCTGCTGAAAACCCACTGGAGTGTCAGCTATGGGTTGGTTCCAACTTGATGGTTTTCAGAAACAATAAAAGCTATATATAGTTTTAAAATATATATATATATACACACATATATTTACACATATGTGTGTACACACACACACACACACACACACACACGCACGCACAATCCCAGAAGTTTCCTGGGACTATAGTAGCAAATATAAGTAGGGTTGTGTTGTTTGTCATTTTCTACAATTGACTCATCTGCATGATAATACGTCTTGAGTGTCCGCTATGTGGATGTATGTCTTTATAGGGACTTCATTGCGCTTCACTGTATGACTAGGATACATTTTTAGGAAGTTCCTCTCCATGAACTTTTCATTTTCTGGAGATGTTTTCCCTCTCTACTAACTATGTTATAGGATGGCCCAAGGTGCTATTTATTGATCTGTTAACCAAAGTGTCAGTGGTTCAAATCCTCCCTCTGCTCCATGGGAGAAAAGGGATTAATCTGCTTACATTAAGATTTACAGCCTTGGAAACTGGACAGAGGGTCATCATGCGTAGAAACAGACTCAAAGGCAGTAGATTCATTAGTATTGTTGTAGCTCCTACCTGGGTATGTGTGTCTGTTCATTTTCCAGAATGCAATAAAAGTACTGATACAATGGGTATATACGTTACAGTTTAGAAAGATACCTCAAAGTTTACTTCTGGAAATTTTGTTCTAATCAATGATGTCACTGCCCCTATTTTCTTCACCAATACAGTTCTTAAATTCTATAATTATTATTAATTTAATAGGTGAAAATGACATCTTGTTTTATCTTAGGTTATAAACAGGAAAGTTGATGCTTCCTTTGTTAAAGTGTTTTGTTGTTGTTGCTGTTGTCGGGGTTTTCCTTGATAAGACTTGGGATTTTGTTTGTTTGTTTGGGCTTTTTTAAAAGAGTAAACTCTCTTTGCAATTACTTGCCATGCATCAGAAAACTGGACAATGACTAGGGATGATAAAAGGAGAATTAATGTCTTTGGGTTGTGGTGCTGGAGAAGAGTATTGAATATACCATGGACTGCTAAGAGAATGAACAAGTTTGTCCTGGAGAGCATGAAGCCAGGCTGCTTCTCGGAGGTAAGGATTCTGAAGCTTCATCTGACATATTTTGGACATGTTGCAAGGTGGGATTAGTCCTTGGAGAGGGATGTCATGCTTGGGATGGTAGAGGGACAATGAAGGAGAGGAAGACCCTCAATGAGATGGATTGATTCAGTCACTGGGGTAATGGGGATAGGTGGGTAGAGACAATAAGATTGGCACAGGATAGAGCAGGTTTTAGGGCTCTTGTACATAGGGTTGCTGTGAGTTGCAAGTGACTTGCAGCACATAACAACAACAAACTCTCTTTTGGTCCTGATTTATGACCAAATTCTATTCCTAGGAAGTTGAGTTGTTCATTTCTGCTTTATAATTTTCATAAATAAGACAACCTTACATTTTATAATCTTCATCTAATCATTTGCTTTACATTAAATAAAAATTCTCTCTCTTTTTTTTCTTTTTAGAGAAGGAATCTGAGCATTGGCATACATCCATTTGTTCAGGGTCATGGAGCTGGTAAAGAAGTCTGGGTAGCTTAGACTCCTAGGTTTATGCATTGCACAGTTATTCTTTATGGGCTACACAAGGTTGTGAGACCAAGTAACATAGTGACAGATGGAAATTTAGAATATTTTGTCACTGAGTAGTAACAACTCACAGCTGACCTTCCAGTGAGAATCACACAGGAAGAGCTTGTCCATCTTTCTCCTGTGGAGCAGCTGGTGGATTTGAACCACTTTCCTTTGAGTTGGCAGCACAACTTCTAATCCCACTAAGGCACCAGCGCTCTGTTGTAGAGTTTATCCTTTCCTTTCTAGGCTCCATGAATGTTTGTAAGATAATAGAAATTTAACCTGAATGCTTTACCACAGGCTCAAATGACCTAGAGGCACTAATTTTATATGCTGTTTTTGTTATGTGCCGTTGAGTAGCTTGCAACTCATAGCGACCCCATGTACAACAGCCCTGAATGAAAGAACGTTGCTTTCCAAAGGAAAAAAAGCAAACTGTTGGGGGTCGTGGGGCAGGAGGAAAATGTGCAACAATGCATGAATAAAAATCCAAGTTCGTTATAAAGTTTCATTAAAATCTAAAAAAAAAAAGGTTGATTCTTTAAAAAACAGCAACAACAAAAACACAATAGCCCTGAACCTTCTCTTTCCTGTGCAAACCTTTTTGTCTCTGACACACCTATCCTCATTACCCCAGTAACTGAATCAATCCATCTCGTCGAGAATCTTCCTCTCCTGTGCTGTCACCCTTCCAAGCATGTTGTTGCTTTCCAAGGACAGGTTCCTCCTTGAACACATCCAGAGTATATCAGACAAAGCCTCAGAATCCTTACCTCTAAGGAGGTGAAATTCTGTATAATTTTATATACACTTTCAAAATCCAGCTTTTCTGGATAAAAGGAGTCACTGTCAAAAAAGAGTAAGTCTATCTGTCTAAAAGTCTGCATTATCCAGACATAGGTAGTGACACATATACACTTAGACAGCAGGGGGCAGTAGAGTTAGGGTGTCAATGTCAACAATGTGTCTTTTCAAAAATAAAGTCTTTATGTCCTTGAAGCCCTTTGACTCCAGCAAAGAGAAATGATAACTAATCACATGCAAGCACATTATGCCATCAGAAGAAAGGCAGTCAGCTTATCTCTCTGATTGAAAAAGAAAGAAAAATTAGTAACATGATGCCAAAAACAGAAGAAGTGAATGATAAAAACAGAATATATATAACTCATCCTGGTTTATGATTCTTTTGAAAGTCTGTGTCTTTGAAAGGGCATTTAAAATTGTTCTAAAATTGGCTTAGGAAGAATTCTTTTTCTTAAGTATAAATGTTAGTTTGTTGGTATTCTGCCTGTGAGGGGAACGGTGGGCTAGCTAAGAAGACTGCTGATCAAACTTTGTGTATGTTTATTTAGCGTTCCTAGTAGGAAAGCTGATGAGCATTTGAAAATAAGTGCTATAGTACACTAACTATGATAGAGCATAGGTGTGCAAGGGTATGTCGGGGGGGGGTAAGAGAGATGATTTAAGATAAAAACATTTTCTTATACCTAAAAAGAAAAAAAAAAGCAGCAGCAACTGTGTCTCTCTGTCTCCCTGTTAGGGATGAGAAACTATCCTACCTCTGTTTCCCAGGGATATTTACCCAATACCCCAGCCCACTTCCCTATTTTGTAGAAAACAACTGTGGACATCCCTTCCCCAATTTCCTTCTAAGACAGTATAAAGCTCTTCTCTAACTTTAAGTGGGGGCTCTACTTTGGAGCCAGCCTGGCAGTTCCTCCTCAATAAACCCTTGGCCTGAAAAAAAAAAAAAAGAAAGAAAGAGAGAGAGATGGAGAGAGTAAGATCTGACATACAATAATTTGAAACCAAGAGAGATGATGAAACTACCATCCCTTTGAGCAATCTATAAGGTTCTATAGAAAGAATACCAACTAAAACCAAACTCAATGCTATGGAGTGCGACTCAGAGTGACCCTCCATTGGGTCTCCTTAAGGAAGGGGGTTTAACATCTTTCTCCCAAGGAGTGGCTGGTGAATTCAAATCCTTGACTTTCTCCACCCACCCCCCCCGCCCAGAAAACATAAAAAAAAGTTTGTTTTAATTTTTCCTGTTATTGCATATTTTCTTTCACAGTGCGCTGTTTGCTACAGATTGTTGTCATACATATAATGCTTAATCACATATTCCTTTTGCTTATTCATGGCTCAACAGGTCAGGCCCTTGGAGTTCTAACCCAAGCTGCTGTTGTCTCTTTCTTACTTTTAGCATATTTCTTGAAACAGCTCGATCAAGCCTATCTAGCCTGACCCCTTTGCCTATGACCATTAGCCAGAGCTGCCCTCTTAAGAAGAAGCTCAAAAGATCAATTTGACTCCACAGCCAGGAAATTAAAAGACATATTGCATTGGGAAAGTCTGTTGTTAGGGACCTCTCCAAAGTACTGAAGAGCAATGGTGTCACTCTGGAGACTAAGGTGCGCCCGACACAGGCCATGGTCTTTGCAATCACTTGGTATGCATCAGAGAGTTGGACAATGACTAGGGAGGATAGATGGAGAATTGAGCTGTGGTGTTGGAAAAGAGTATTGAATATACCATGGACTTCTAGGAAAATGAACAGGTTCATCCTAGAGAGGGTTAAACCAGACGTCTCCTTGGAGGCAAGGATTTTGAAGCTTCGTTTGACATACTTTAGACATATTGCAAGGGGGACCAATCCTTGGAGAAGGATCTCATGCTTGGGGGAGTGGAGGGACAGCACAGGAGAGGACGACCCTCTATGAAGTGGATTGATTCAGTGACTGGGGTAATTGGGGTAGGTGTGTTGGAGACAGTGAGATTGGCACAGGATAGAGCAGGGTTTAGGGCTGTTGTACATAGAGTTGCTATGAGCTGCAGGCGACTCGACGACACAAAACAACAACATCCAAAAATAGGCCTCACACCCTCTTTCTCCCCCTTTAAAATGTTTTTCCTCTTGATTTTTTGATTAGTAGCTTGAGCTATCACACACTATGCCATCAGAGCTCCTTGGCAGAAGAATAGGAAGGTTACAAAGTTGCTCCTGCACTCAGTAGAGTTACAACTTCGTGCCCTTATTCTTAATCATTTCTGCATCCTGAATGCTTTTGGAGAAGTTGATGAGCATTTAATTCATCTTCCTGAATATATTTGTATAAGATTAAAACTACATGAAGTATTTTATTGTATTAGATAAAAAGAATTTTATTTTTGGACCAATTTTTAGATGCAAACTTAATTGTCTAATTAGAAGTAAGAATATAGAGGGGGGAAAGAAATTCAAAGTGTGCATATAAAATGGAAGAAAAAAAGTTTGTATTTTGCTAAAATACAAATTTCCATGAGGAGCCAGCTTTCTATGAGTTTTGCATGAAAGCTGAAATGCTCCTGGACATAGAACCACACATGCATTCTGCCGCAGATCTATTGTTTTAATGGTAACGTTCTGAAAAGCTGGATTCCTAACTGTCTGGAGAAGCAATTAGTCCATGACCACAGATGACACAATGGGCTCTGACAAGGAAAACCAGGATATTTCAAGACTATCTGAATTGAATTTATATCATTTAATTTCCGTTGGCTCCACGTCACTGGGTTCCATCTTTTACAGGGGGATGCTGTTGATGTCAGCAAGGAGATAAAGAGGCCATGATATTTCTATTTTAAGGGTGTTAAAGCAGAAGTACTTTACAAAGAGTTATGTGTTTCAAATCATCCTCAGATTTCAACAGGGTGGGTCCATGAACGAGAGGTTCATATTCTGCTTTCATTTCGTAAGAAAACATGGAAGACAGTGATCCAAAGGTCTGGCTCTGGTCAAGCCGACACCTTCCTATCAATAAGCAGAAATCTACAAAGCAGTGAGCCATTAAGCTTCCTGCACAGAGATACCTCCTCCTGTAAAGCTGTGTAACTCTAAGATATGTTCCCAGGAGTCACAAGTATTCCCTCTTCTCACAAAGTGTCCAAGACGTTTCCTTGGGGGGTAAAAAACCAAAACACCATTTCAAAGGACTTTTTACATTTGAAAAATACTTACTAAACAAAAGTTCATCTTTGAAAACATCAGCTGACTCCATAAAGGAGCTTCCAAGTCCTCTATTACATGCCTCAAAACAGTGGTTTGTTTTTTTTTTAAAAAAAAAAAAATAAAAATCAGCTATCATAGCATTGTTGTTGTGATTGAGAACTGTCAAGTCAGAACCAACCTGGAGCTGATGCTGTAGTGGGTTTTCAGAGACAGTAAAGTAAAAAAAGGAGGAAATTGCCTATCCTTCTCCCAGCTGGTGAGTTAGAATCGGGTACCTTCAGGATTACAGACCTTTTTCTTACCAGTTGGCCACCAGATAGATCAATTTCTTAGAGCCTTTTAACTTGCCTTCTGAGTTCTCAACACTGACTCACCCGTTTTTAGTAGACATGATTGTTACCACAGTTACCTTGTGGCTATTCTAAGACTAAGCTGTTCCGTCAGGGAACATCAAAGGCCGTAATCTTGTCCTTTCAGCTCCAGCGGCCTTTGCTTCAAAACAATCTCCACTGATCTGTTTTTAGAACAAGGGGATATTCTCCCTCTGCACCTCCACCTCTGTGCTCCTCCCTCCCACTGGTAAGAAGAGGGTACCGTGATGCTTTTGGTGTCCCCTCCCATGCACTGATGATCAAAGTTGAACACTATTTGACATTAACATTTTCTTTGACAATTTCCAACTTAAACCAAGATTGAAATAAACAAAGATATCATTATAGTGCCAAGACACGTATTCTTTAATTATTTTGTTCCCCCCTTGTTGTGACCAGCACGGGAGGAGATTAACCCTCTTCCAGCAGAGCTGGTGGATTCAACCTCACACCTTTGGGGCTGCAGTGCAGCTTCTCGCCACTAGACCCCAGAGCTTACTATACTCTTTAATTCTTGTCAGTGCAAAACTGTTCTGACATATCCTGACATCACGAGTATCTAGTACCTGGCAGCAATAGCATTCTGTAATGATGGTAAAAAT